ATTTTGGTTATTATCAAGAAAACCATGGAAAATGGCTAGATATCAGCTCTTAAATTAAACTCTTATGAGCTATTTTTGTTGTTATCATTATATTTGTCCAAACAAATGTCATTGTCAGTTCTTATGCTCTATAATTATATAGCATGTTTTCAACCGCATTCTGACTGTTAGAGTCAATGGTCTAGAGGGATTTATTTCTGATTGTACAACTGGTTTAAAAATAAGTGTGTCACACAGTTGCACCATTTCTTTGCTGCTGTTATTTTGGTTTGTTCCCCGCTGCACTTTCTCAGTCATAGATTTCCCATGTTGCTAATGTTGAGAACAATATGAAAATCCATTTCTACCAATGTGATAAAAAAAGTTATTATAAGGAGAAACTTTCTCAAATTATTTCCCACCTTTTATATATTCAGGAGGCAGTTTCACTGAGAGCAGGTCTCTTTTTCAGAAACGTCCTGATCATTCGCAGTACAACCACAGACGATCTGCTGCCTCTGAGCAGCTCCAATTCAGGGCCTTGCTCAAGGGCACTTCAGTGGTGAGAAAGCATGAGGGGCACATGCTCCTCACCCACATTTATCCTGCCGGTCTAGGGGATTTAACCGACAACCTTCTGGTCACATACTCGCTTCTTACCACCGACCACAATGATCCCTTTAGACTTCTATCTGAAAATCATGAGAAACTTTCTCAAAATAATGATTTAGTATTATTATTTTTAGATACTATGACCTTATTTTGAGATAACTCATTATTTTCAGATACTAAGTCATTTGAGATAAGACATTACTTTAAAATACTAGGACATTACTTTGAAAATGTTTTTTTCTTCTTTTTCATCACATTAGCAGAAATAGGCTTCCATATATGAGAAAGAGGAAGTGAGAAGGAGGTACTGAAAGCCCCATGAAACACTGCACGGCCCATAGCTCGTTGAGAAGAGGAAGTGTAAGCTACAGGAAAGTTCACTAAACACAAGTGTGAAAACAGACAGGCGGATTATTCTCACAATCAGGTAAGACCTAAACTTTATTTTCCATCTTTATTCGTTTCTTCTGTGTGTATGAATAAGATTGTAAAGATTATGTTTAATTTAAACTATTCTTTTTTGCTTATCATATAGAAATGTGTTGATGTTACATGTCCTGAGAATACTTGAAAAACAGGACCCAATGAAGAAGAAATAGGCCGAAAATGACTTTAGAATTAATCACATGATCTGTCATCTTATAATACATCAACTATATGTACAAATACATGCTTTATTGAAAAACTAAGTATGGCAGCTATAGTTTTGTAATTTATAATGTATAATAAAACCTAAAAATAGATCAAATATTAGCAAACTACTTTATAGTTGTGTCTGTATTAAACCTACAGCAACTAATTTGTTATTAGTAGATCGACAATTTGATGCTTTTGATTCAAATATCATCTTAAACA